ACTCCAATCACAGGGATTAGACCTGGATTCAGGAATTTAGGTAACTTGAGGATAATCCAATGAAAACAATATGTTTTTGAAAAAGCCCAACAACCTGGCCAAAACACTGAATTCTTGAAAGGTTTTTGAACTTGAGCTCAGAAAACCTTTTGAGAATTTAAAGTCTCAGTCATGTTTTCTACAATTTTCTTGCCCATTTTGGAAACACAATGTTTTCGAACGCTTTTCCTCACATTTCCTAAATTCCCAGATTTAGGCCTAATCCCTGTGCAATCTGGCCAATCTGGTTCTGGAGTGGCCACTCCAACTCTGAACAAGATGATCTGACCATGAATGACCCACTCTGACTCTGAACTGGCAGATCCAACTCTCAACTGAATGATCTAACTCTGAACCAGCCAATCTGACTTGAACTGGACAATCCAAATTATTTTGATTCAAGCAAACTGCCCAAATTAAAAAATCTAAGTCAGAATCGGAAAATTCATGTCTGATTCAGAAATCACAAACTGGACAATCTATGTCCAAAACCAAATCATTCAACACATTAGGGGTGATCACAGTTGACTGATTTCATGGATTTGTTGGGAGATTTGATGGTGGATTTGGGACAGGAAATCATTAAATCCAGGAAAGCGCCTGCAGAGACTGGAGTCACTTTGGAAAATTTGGCAGATTTGATGCTGGATTGCAAGTGTGTTTCAAATGTAAACTGTCATTAATTAGAAATATTGCAAGTATACTATTATGATCTACTAGATGCACATTTGCTGGATGAGTGTAAATCAACTCCAAATCTTGTTCCCAATCTGGGGTATCAGAGTTGACTGGTCAGATTTGGATGATTTTTATTACTCGCAGTTGCTCAAATCCAACATCAAATCCCCTATCACATCCACAAAATCAGCCAACTGTGATCACCCCCATTGCTGACTTTTGATAGAACTTTGGTTTTGAGCAATGCAGAAAAACTGCTGAGTGTTAGTGAGGCCATATGGCATGTGATATTCAATATGTAATGAAAATCCAAGTATTTGCAAATATAGAAATCCCCCAAAGTTGTAATGGGGTGGTATCTGGTCACCCTACCTTGATGAAAGTGCTGTGACAACAAATATTGCATATAAGGATGTTCTGCCTCATCCAAATTGAGTAAGTATTTGGGACTTGATTGGAGTTGCCACTATTGTTAACTCTGAGAGGCAGTACATTGACTTTGGATAACTTATAAAAATGGCTGTTTGAATACATAGGGTAGTGTTGCTGCAGCTGGGCTATTTATTTGTTCAGCTCAGTTTTTTTAGGCCAGCTGTTGGTGAAATAACAATTTGGGGGCTCTGGGATGCAAACCCCCAAGCTGATAGGTTGGTGAAGATTACTTTCAAGATTAAGAACTATTGGCCATAATAAAATATATTGGCTGCAGCCAACAGCAACATTAACATAGGAACAATGTGATTTCAAATATGTCATGTAGAAATATAATTTTTTGATTGTGGATATGTTCAAAACCAGCAAACACCTAATGGGCTGCCCGTGCATAGCACAGGTTACTCACCTAGTATCAATATAATCATTCTAATTCTTTACTAGTTGATTTCTGTTTAGTTGCGTGACAAATCACATACCCGTCCGCGGACCGGCTCCTCACAGTGCTCGTCGTACTTTTCAAGCTCCGATGCTCCCGGCGTGGCGTTGTCATCTGCGCTCGAAACCTCTTCTACACGAAACAAGACCGGTCATTTGTTTAGCTCATGCTCTCCGAGGCATCTGATCTGACGGATCTCTCATCGGATGATAATGGCGGGCAGAATACCAAAGGGAAGGCCCCGACGAAAAGGACGGGTTATAGGCTTCGCAACGTGTTGAAGCCTGGGCGGACGACTCAATACACCGCAAAGGCACTTTATGGTAAGTGAGAGATCAGAAAATGGTTACGGTCTTATGAATACGGCATGTAGACCAGATCCACGATAACGACATCGACTTGAACCCTGAATACCAGCGGGGTAAGCTCTTCAGCATACTTCTTTTATACGGCATATTTGGCATGATTCCGAGGAGTTGAACGTGTTGAGGTGTGCCTCTTATCTTTAACCCAAGAAGGGTGTTTGATTCCTCTCCCTCAAAACCTGCATTTCTTGCATTGACAGTTTCAGTATTGATATCCTGATTGTTCATCCAGATGTTGTTTGGTCGGAGGCGAAGCAGGTTGGGCTGATCGATTCCATTTTCCGTAATTTCTACGTTCCACCAATCATTTTCGGTGAGCTCTCTTGCGTCGATCCCAAAGAGCAAATATACATACCTGATGCAACGCATACGTGGGTTAAGCTGTCACTACGGAAGATGACGGCACCGAGAAGTAAACGAATTGTTTTATGACACCAACATCGTATTGCTGATCTTTTTATTCTCAGGCGAGTCTGTATAGGTACGAATTATCTGTTTCTTTTGCCAGTTCAATGACGGAATACGCGTCATAGATGGCAAACAGCGCCTGACAAGTATACAAAGGTAAGAAATTGTTATCATACATATAACCACGTTCAACTTACAATGCTATTGTAAGATTTATCGGCGGTTTGGTGAGTCATCTTGCTAGGTGACACCAAAATTGAATGTTCTGAACTTGTCGATGCACTTAGATCCCACGTATGCACCCTCTCATACGACATTTTATTTATCTTCCTTTTGTAACATTTCCTGCTCTCCAGATCGAGATCCGTAAGTTGCTTTTTATTTTTCGTCAACCCACGCTGATTATTTTGTAATTCAGTTTTACGAACGAAAGGCTCTGGTTTGTAGACAGCAAAAATGGCCCCAAGAGGAAGCTACTCCCTCCGCAGTACCGGACTCTTTTTAAAAACAAACAGATTGTATGTATAGAGTACAGTGAGCTACCTGCAGATCTGGAAAGGGAGGTTTTTCAGGTTAGTCTTATTGAATTGTTACATAACATATCATTGATGTGTTTTATCAGAGAGTCCAAATGGGGATGGCCCTTACAACAGCTGGTAAACTTGTTTGAATTATTTCTGCTTCATTTACTCACACCGGAACAGAAAAACTACAGTCTATCAGTGGTCCTTGGCCGGATTTGGTTCGTCATGTCAACAATGAATACTACCTTGGAAAGGATGGTATTTCGGCTCACATAGACCTGGACCATGCACGGGCTCGGGATTTTCAGAATATTTCACAGGCTCTTTTCTGCATTGACCAGCTTCCAGCACAATCTCAGGGCACTACAACACAGCTTGAAAAATGGCTTTCAAAGGAGAAGCCTTCAGAAGCTACTTGTGCTAAAATCTATGATGTTTTCAGGATTTTCAGAGACCTTGCTAAACACAAGCAGTACAAGCTACCACTCAAGACTCCCAACCGCATTGCTCCTGCAGAATTTATCATGATTGGTGTTATGATTGCAATGTTCAAGGATCAGATGTCTCTTCCTCAATTATCACAGGCCATTGGAATTCTACGTTCTGAAAACCGTGCTGTACATGCAGATATTAGGACCAACTCAAAAGTATTCAAGACTATGTATCACATAATATCAAGTCAGATCAAGGTTTCTGCCCTAAAGGATACTCCAGGAGTACCAGTGGCAGGAAATACTACTGGAGCAACAGCAGCAATGCCCATTGGTACCTCCATGATTGTTTCTGGAGGAGTAAAGAGGAAAAGAGAAGAATATATGGATGTGGATGGCTTAGGTGAAAGTGTGGATGATGAAGCAGAGAATCAACCAAAAATTGCCAAAGTTCAACAAATGCCAAAGGACACCCCTGTCAATGCTACTAATTCTCATCCTGCCTCATCAAATGCTCCAGTAACCTCTTCAAGTACAACTGTGAAAATTGATGATAATGGCTCTGTATGAAGCTTCCTCATTTCTGGTTTTAAATACCCGACACGCTAACGAGTGGCGTAGGCATTGTCTCCGGTACCCTCAGCCTCTAAGCATCCCCAGAATCACTACCCTCGCCCGATCCCAACAGGCCCGGCCTCAACAGGAAGATTTGCAAGAATACGAGCTGCGAAAGCTCAAGCTTCCATGATGGCCAATGGTTCAGGATCTGGTCGATTCTCTACACCCACCTCACAAGAGTCTTCAATTGACCTTCCTCACCCAAATAATCAGTCATCCAGTTCCAATTCATTAGAGGCCATGATGACGGGTCGTCCAAGCCATCCTTTTTATTCACCTCGGCTCTATCCTATCCCCTCGCATGATGTACCGTATCAGCAGCATTCCGCCACTCAGTCAACGAACACCCCCATCCCCATCCGTGAGGATGGGAGCAATCCCGGGGGATCCTCTCGCACGATTGACGACGATCCTCCCCGCTCAGTTTCATCGGGGCATGATCGGAATGAGGGTGGTAACTACCGTGGTGGGCGAAATGGTTATAGCTACCGTGGTGGGCGCAATGGATACAGCGACCGCGATGACTATCGAGACAAAGGCAAGGGAAGAAGCAGGAGTGGGGACAGAGACAACCATGCTGCTCCAGGTTCGTTCTCCAACCGCGGTGATCTTTATGCCAGACGTGACTCTGGTTGGAGTGACAGGTCGGACAGAAATAGCAGGGATTATAGGGGAGGGTCTAAATACGACCGTCGTTGACTCTGAACGACTGAAAACGTTCGAGTGAGTATAAGACACGCTCACAGGATCTCAGCAATCGGATCACATTTTGAGGCTATACTCCACCATTATACTTCTTGCCCTGCCCGCTTATTATGCACCGCTCCTTTCTATGTTTTCCGTTTGGTCTTTGACGACTTTTTGCTATGATACCGTTTTTGCATCTAATTCCCGCCGTTCTTGATCTCTTCGAGCTCGTTATGTAACGTATCCCGCGTTAATATACCACGCATTAATAATTACCGAGGTACTATTTGTGTACATGGATAAAATGAATTCGATGACGGTGCACGGAAAGAGTATAAACAGGATGACTTGGTTATACAATCATGAATATTACGATAGGTCCACGATGGTGTAATGGCTAACATCGCTGTCTTTCAGGTATTTCTTCACAGCAGCTCGGGGTTCGATTCCCCGTCGTGGAAAATGTTTTTATTTGTATTTCAAATCATATTTTTTGTATCACCTTTATCCATTCCCTACTTACTACATTGTACAGACATCCATCCTTCTCTTCACAGTCTCTATTCATTGTCATTCCATCGGCAGCATTACACTTCTATATCCGGCGAGCATTTTGTCTTCTTCCTTCCATCTTTTCATCCCATGTCTCACCCTATGCAGTGTGGTTTTGAGGCCAGGTTGTTCGCAACCTAGTAGTACTTGGCGGAGACTTGCTTTCTCTCCAGCCTTTCACTCTTGCTCACTGCCACAACTCAATTTCATTGCCATGTAGTCTTTTCTGTCAGTTTCTTTTCTACCTAATCCTCCCTGTACCCGATTTTTAGTAGTTAGTGCACCATAAGTGCCCAGCTATTCAAGCACTGTATTGACTTCTCTCATTATTTCCCGCAAATGCCTCTCAGGTTTAGAAATGTGGGTCGCTGATTACCGCAGCCATGTGGACGCCCAGAACAACAAACATCGCGACCACAGTGCCAAATCCACTTGCAAAAATTACTGAGCGGCTGGCTCAGCGCTGGAAGAGCTTGGTTGCATCTAGAAGTCGTGAATTTTCTCGTTAAATCATCTGCTTCTGACTACTCATCCCATTTCACTCAGGTCCTTCGCCATGCGCTTAGTACTTGAGCTCTCTGAGCTCTGTTTCCGAGGCTCCTCAGTTGGAGGTTCAGCTTCGGGACGATTAAGTACAAGATTGTGTCGGCAGTCACAAACACAATGCATGTGGATCCGCCGTGCATCAACCGCCACTGCTTTAGCAAGTGGACCAAAGGCGCCAGTTGTCAGTGACGCACCACTTTTGCCCAAACTTACGGCGCAAGATGTTGCTCGTATGGTCCACCAACGCAATATTGGGGTTTCGGCGCATATTGACTCAGGAAAGACGACACTTACGGAACGAATATTATTTTATACAGGTAGAATTCGGGAAATTCACGAAGTAGGTACGATGGGCGTGTGAATTGCATTACTGAGCTTACACACTGGATAGGTTAGAGGACGCGATGCCGTAGGCGCAAAGATGGACAGTATGGAACTGGAGAGGGAGAAAGGCATTACCATCCAGAGTGCAGCTACATACTGTGACTGGAATGCTACTGTGCCAACCACAGGCGAAAGGCAAAAGTATGCTGTTAATATCATCGATACCCCTGGTTAGACTTCCTGCACTGTCTTCACTCGTTATTTTTAGTGACCTTGCATTTGCACTAGGTCACGTGGATTTTACAATCGAGGTGGAGCGTGCCCTTCGAGTGCTCGATGGAGCTATCCTGGTCTTATGCGCTGTTGCAGGTGTCCAGGTGGGTATCTTACGTTTCATGACCTCGTACTCTTGTCACGATTACTCCAGAGCCAAACTATCACCGTAGATCGACAAATGCGTAGATATAATGTACCCCGGATATCCTTCGTCAATAAAATGGACCGGTCCGTCTCATTCGGTTATTTGAAAGCATCCAACAACTTTAGTGACCCACATATGCAGCCCTGGTGCAAACCCTTGGCGAATAGTGGAACAAATCAGAAACAAATTGCGCATGGGAGCGGCGGCAGTACATGTGCCAATAGGTATGGAGGACGGGTTCAGAGGCGTCGTCGATCTTGTGCGCTGGAAAGCAGTCTACAATGACGGCGTTAAAGGGTGTGCTTAGAATGCTACTCACTCGTGGCAAGTTCTCTGCTCATACGGCTTATCTCAACCAGCGTGGACGTTATCGAATCCAACGAAATCCCATCCGACATTCTCCCCTTCGCCAAGAAAAAACGTGCCGAGCTCATTGAAGCCGTTGCCGAAGTTGACGAAGCGCTCTCTGACCTCTTTCTTACTGACAGTGAAATTACAACACCAGACCTCATTGACGCCATCCGGCGCGCAACCATCGCGCGTAAGTTCTCGCCTGTGTTCCTAGGGTCTGCGATCAAGAACACAGGCGTTCAGGTCCTCCTGGACGGCGTGTGCACATATCTCCCGAATCCCTCTGAGGCGCCAGTTGTAGCAACCGACACAGCACGACGGGATCCTCTTGAGACGGAAGATGGCAAACCGGGACCATATGCACAGGTGTCCTTGGTGCCTGCAGCACAAGCACCGCTTGTGGGACTTGCCTTCAAACTAGAGGAAGGGCAATACGGGCAACTGACATATATGAGGGTGTATCAGGGAAGCCTTAAGAAAGGCGGCTTGATCTGGAATGCGAGGACAGGGAAAAGAATCAAGGTTCCACGGCTTGTACGAATGCACAGTAACGAAATGGAGGTGCGTTTTTGAGAGTATTTCCTACAACTGTTTGTGGAGTGTGTTTAATGTAGGACATTGACTCTATTGGCCCTGGAGAGATTTGTGCCATCTTCGGTGTGGACTGCTCCACGGGCGATACCTTCAACGATGGTGCCACCAGTTACACCATGGTGCGTTGAAATCTCTCGAGCGGTATGCTTTTTGATATTTTGGCACTGTAGACATCCATGTTTGTCCCTGAACCTGTGATCTCTCTCGCCATTAAACCGGCGGGACAGGAAACACCTAATTTCTCGCGCGCGCTCAACCGCTTCCAGAAGGAAGATCCGACGTTCAAAGTCCATGTTGATCGTGAAAGCAAAGAGGTGCATTTCTACTTCCGCTGGTCCACGGCTCATAAGCTCAATGTATACCTTATAGACGATTATCTCGGGCATGGGCGAACTTCACCTCGACATCTACGTGGAACGCATGAAGCGCGAATACAACACTGAGTGTATCACCGGTAGACCGCAGGTCGCTTTTCGCGAAACCATCCAGCGAGAATCCAAGTTTGCGTATACGCATAAGAAGCAAACTGGCGGTGCTGGACAGTATGGGCGTGTCATCGGACAGATCGAACCCATGGAACCAGATATGGAAACAGGGAAGGATATCGCATTCGAGAATCTGGTGATGAGTGGGAATGTCCCAACGCATTTTATTCCTGCTGTTGAGAAGGTTCGTTTTCCGTCTGACTTTGTCTAAAGGGACAGGTGTCTGATTGACTGGTATATATACAGGGTTTCCTGGAAGCATTAGAGAAAGGCGCTTTATCAGGCAATCCCGTGACAGGATGTCGCTTCGTCCTCAAAGATGGTGCCCACCATCCTGTGGACTCTTCTGAACTCGCATTCAAACTCACAGCTATTGGTGCGTTCCGCGAAGCCTACCGTGCGGCGAACCCCGTTATTCTAGAACCCATCATGAAGGTGGAAGTGGTTGCTCCCGTCGAGTTTCAAAGTATGTTTGCTCCATCTTGCGGATCATAACCCACTAACGGACGTCCGTAGGTGTTGTCATCGGAAGCTTGAACAAGCGCCGTGGTCTAATCATCGATAATGAAGTCCGGGAGGATGAATTCACGGCCACTGCAGAGGTGGCGTTGAACGACATGTTTGGGTACTCGAGTGCCTTGCGGGGCGTTACTCAAGGCAAAGGTATGCAGCCGACTCCTTTCCACGCCTGGCTACAGCTCTGACATGACTAAACTCTGTAGGCGAGTTTAGTATGGAATACAAGGTACTACGGTTTGACCTTGTTGATGTCTCTCCATCGCTGACATGTCACGTTGCACAGACACACCAGCCTGTTTTACCGCATGTGCAAAAGGAGATGGAAGAAGAATATCGCAAGACAATAGGTCAAAAAAAGTAATATTTCAATCGATTGGATATATGTAGCGATAATTAGATGATCTATGACCACAACTTATTCTTGTTTACTGTTTACTTGATTACCCGATCGCTAGAGACGCTCGAACTACAGTTTGGAAAACGTGTTACGTCTTAGAACAGGAGCGACCAAATCTCGAAGCTCGATTCTTGAATATCTCCCGCAGCACAACTGGGTTCTGGGCAAAGTCAATTGAGACTCCGATGGGCGTAATTAGTGCTTCCCAATTGAGACAGCGTTAGGCAGTGTGCCGCCGACCGCCACTGTGACTTCGCGCAGCCTCACTGTTAAAACGTTAACACACCATGTCTGCAATAACAGACTCTGATATTCAATTCTTGGGAAACTGGAACTCCCAACAGCCAACTTCAACCCCCTCCATTGTCTCAGGTAGCTGCCTTGTCCCCGACTCCTATTCCGATCCCTGACCTTAGATTATCAGCGATTGTGCTAACGCCTATGAATCCCAATCCTGGAGCTTCGCCTTTAGATCTCACGCGCACGTTCTGTCGAAGCCAGACATCCGTTGTGCACGTTGGTCGTACGCCTGCACTGGACGCCAGCGTTCCCGTGGACGACAGGGTGACCTTTCTCAACCCAGTCATGTCCCGTAACCATGCGAAGATCACATTCGCTGACTCTGGTTCTGTGAGTCCAGCTATATCTATATTCGAGCAAGTTGCTCATGGTAGGCGGTCAGGTGTTTATTATTGATACCAACTCCCATCACGGGACATGTATCTCCCGCTCTCTCGGACAGTTCAAACTTGCATCCGAGAGCCCGTTCCAGCTTCAGGATGGTGACAAGATCACCTTTGGAAAAGATGTCCTGAGAAACGGCCTCGTAAGTCATAACTCCCTCTTACCTGTGCATCCCACCAAGATTTACATGCACCCTATAAGCTTCACAAGCCCCTGACGGTTTCCGTGAAGCTCCTCCGTACAACATCTACTCCCTCCTCGATGTCAATCTCCAGCACCAGCGTGAGCCCTATCGGGAAAACCTCTTCTCCGAGATCGCGCAACCGCTTTGGCCTCAGCCCCGCCTCAGACTCCGAAGACAGCAGTGACTCACCCGCAAACCAAAATGGAAATGAAAACGACCTCTTACCCTGCACGGGTTCGAACGCCATTGTCCTCGACATCTCTGAGTCTGACACATCTTCCTTCCCTACGAGCTCTGACGACAGCTCACTCGTCTCCCCTTCTGGACTTGAGCTTGAGGGCATCAACATGCTTGCAGATGTCGCGAGCCCTAGCTCCAGTAGCACTCCCCCCTGGAGGCGTCTT